ATAAGCCTTTAGGAGTGTGGTGATAATGTGTGGGGAAGGCAGATATTAATATGTAGCCCTATAATTAGGTCTCAGTCTTTGTCCCTAGACTGTGAACTTCACCAGTGCTTCTTAGGATATTTTTTCCCTTTTAAGTGGGAACAGGATATTTAGAGTAGGCTGGAGTTGCGTATTTCCCTTTCCTTGGGAAGGCTAGGCACTGATAAAATCCTGGAAGGTTGGGTGGTAGTAAAATAGTTTCTTTTACGAGCAGGCTTTGTTAAGATGAAAAGAATATCTACTTTACTTAAAAATAGTTACTCCCCCCCCCACTGCCAGTGGCGGGAGAATATTTTCCTCTGATATTCACTGTGAGGATCCAGCATAGTTCCTAGTGGTAAAATGAACAGAAGAGTGGAGTACCTCTACAACTGAGCTGCCCTGGAGTTTTTAACTCTTAGACTTGTCTAGAAAATTATGAATTGCAATTCAGGTTTTCCTACCCCAGTAGTGGTTCCTATAGAGGTTTCTGTGTATAGGCTTCTGTTCTGGAGAGTTACCATTATTCTGTCTGCCTGTTTCTCTAACTTTAGGGGCATCAGTTTTCCCTGACTTACTTCTCTGATGAATTCTAAGAAAACTTACGGATGTTTCCATTTGGTCAGCCTTTTATTTGTTGTTAGTATGGAGTGGCAATCTCTAAGCTCCATACATGCTGGGAAGAAAACAAAAAGTCCCTCTATTAGAATTTATTTATCAAACCCTTAAGTCTAGATAACTGAAAGATCATTTCCTGGTATTTCAAGCAAATGGGTGGGAATGGGGAATCCTGCTGCCAGCAGGATACTGGAGTAAACCCTGGGGGGTCTGAGAAGTAGCAGTGATAGCTATGGGATCAGAGGAGAAAGGGAGGGTGGAGGAGAAGGAGGGACATGACTTCCATGTCCTTCATGGAAGTTATGACAGATGGTTTGGGAATTGGAGACTCATGACATGTTTGAGGATAAAAATGACAAAATTAATTAAAGTAGTAAGAGGTAACATATCTTACTGGATCTTAGGGGTTTATATTACTTTTACTTGCTCAGATGGATGGTTGAAAAGATATGGGGTGGCATCTGATTTATTGGTGTGTTTGTGTGTATATGAGTTTGGTGGGGGCAGGTGTTAGATAGAAGCACTGATAGGCAGTGGGAACTGAAACAGAGGGATGTTTGTATTTCTATCATGTAACATAGGTCTTGGCTGCTCAGTAAATATTTGGTTTTGTTTTTTTATTTTTATTTTATTGATTATGCCATTACAGTTGTTCTATTCCCCCCTTCATTCCCCTCCACCCTGCACCCTCCCACCCCTACCATTCCCCCCCTTTAGTTCATGACCATGTGTCTCAAGTTCTTTGGATTCTATATCTCCCATGCTATGCTTGCCCTCCCCCTGTCTATTTTCTACCTACCATCTATGCTACTTATTCTCTGTACCTTCTCCCCCCTTCTCCTCCTCCCACTCCCCTGTTGCTAACCCTCCACGTGATCTTCATTTCTATGGTTCTGCTCCTGATCTAGCTGTCCTTTTAGTTTGCTTTTGTTTTAGCAACCACATCTAAAACAAAAGTAAATATTTGTTGAATGAATGAATAACTGCAGAGCTTTCTGAAAAGGCCCTATAATAAAAAATTGAAAAATTAATGTCACAAAAATAAAAAGCAAACTCCATCTTTTATCTACAATTCTTTCATGAAAATGTAAAAATAAGCAACCACAGATGTCTGGGTGGAAACCAGAATCTTAACTTCTAGAACACATAGGAATGCATTGTGCCAAAAATCTTACTCATCATTCTTTGGCATTAACTCTTGATTTGGTTGATTTCTTCAGACATTTTTTAAATCCCTTTCTAACACAACCATCCTTCTTGCCCTATTCCTCCTCTTTCCTCTCTGTTTTACTTCCCTCTACCTTCTCTCTTCCCACGTCCCCACTTCTCCCCCTTTTCATCTTCATCCCTTCTCCTCCCTTTCTTCCTCTGTTCTTCATGGAGCTTGATAGAAGTGGTGAAAGTGGGTAAAAAAAACGTGATGATTTGGACAAGGGGATAAAGGGAGACTAGCAACAGGGAAACTGTGAATTTTTATAGCACAGCAGTTTAAGGGGACAAGATGGCTGGTGAAGTCTGGTTGGGGTGGGGTGAAGTTTATGTTGGAAAGCTGCCTTTACACAACAAGCACGTATTACATACAATGAGTGCTGTTTTGGGGTAAGATTGAGACAGGATAATAAGAAGCTAGGAAAATTCCTGGGCAAGTGGAATGGGGAAGTTGAGACAAGAAAATTCAATAAAGCTAAACAGTTTGAGCAACTTATAGCCAGCTGGTGAATTGCAAGACCTTATCTCCCTTAAGCTAAAGCTGACCAGAGAATAATCTCCAACTCCCCCCTATACATTCATTTTGATGCACCAGCATATTGAAAATGCACCTGGAAAGCTGACAAATATTCACCTGAAACCCTCCCGTAAGAGTCTCACCAGCAGAAGAGAGATAAAACCCTCAAAACAGAAGTTATCGGTGCAGGCCTGTTCTAGAGCATGCCCATGCTCTGTGAGCAAACTTTTTACTTCTTAGACTCTAAGGGTCCCCACAAGACTTGCAGTCAGAGGAGTAGTGGGCTTATGCCCTGATCCTGTCTCCAAGTCCCCCTTATTTCTCTGACTTCCCAGTAAGCTAACAGCTGCCCTGCCTTGGTTCACTCCCTTTCTAGGGAGCCAAGGTAGAGCACCACCTAGACTCTCTCCTGTTGCTTCTTCTGCCCTAAGCCTTTCCTTTCTTTCGCTGTCCCCAACTTTAACAAGTGTACTCTTAAAATCACCTGGACTGGTGTTGTGAAATCTTTCCTACTCGAAGTCAAGAACCCACACAGTACAGGCTGGTCTGAGGCAGACCTGCTCTGGGATGGTCCCTGTCCTGTAACTCCAGCCCCCCATTAACCCCAATGTTCAATTTAAATGCTTGTCTGAGAAAGCTCAACCCTGTAAGGAGGATTTACTCTTTGTTCTAGTCTGATGGCAGGCCCCTGACCTACTTTTCTGAGAGCATTTAGTAAAAAGGGCTTACAATATGTATCTCTTACAACTCAGAGGTGCCCTTCTCAAGGACCCGAGAGTCATTCCTTTAAAGTGTAATCATCAGGAAGGTTACGGCCTCTATCTCCCAGTCTCTGTGGGAGGATGGACTCCTAACTTTCTTAACTGCCAGCTACCAGACACAGCTGGCTTGATCACATTTTTATGGACCAACCCTTTGTAATGATTCACTTCTCTGACTCTACCGAGGCTTAGCTCTCCCCTTCCCTCCTTGTCCCTTTAAAATACCAAAATACCTCTGCACAAATTGGAATGGAGCTCAGCTTTTCCCTCTACTGTCAATAGTTATTGAGTAAAATTGGTTTTCACTGCTTTAACTCAGGCTGTGTTTATCTTTGACCCTAATCATGACTTAATCTCACTGTTTTATAATGCAAGGCAATGAATCTAAAGTGACTTCCAGGCTTAAGACGTAGGGTTTTTCAACACTCAGGAAAAGATCAGGAGCTGGTTTATAGGCAGCTAGTGGGGAGAAGATGATTAATGAGTGATAGGGGTAAAGAATCCCATGATCAGAATAGAATGCTTTTCTTGTGGTATGGAAGTTGTGATGACAAGGGATCACATAGATGGCACATGGGGTAGTCTGGGAGCAGAAAGCACCATGTCCCTGTCCAGTTTCCCTTCTCTTCCCTTTCTCCTCTCCTTCTTTCCTACTTTTTTTTTGTTTAAAATATTTCTTTTTTTAGACAAAGGGGAAGAGAGTGAGAAAGAGAGGGAGACATCCACGTGTTCCCTGGCAGAAAGAGCAGACTCAGGTACGCACTAAGCGATGAAAGCCTCAGCCAGCTCCTTGTTCTCAAGCCCGCCCTTCCGGGAAAGACCGCCGGCGGCGACGTTTACGACCTCACCTCCCGCCCTTCAGGAATTTGGATTCCTGAAGAGGGAGGGAAACATCCCCTACTGGGGACCTGGCTGGCAACCCAGACACGTGTCTTGATCTGGGAATTGAACATGTGACCCTTTGGTTCATAAGCCAATGCTCAATCCACTGAGCCACACCAGCCAGGGCCATTCATTTTCTGTCTTAGCAAGTAATATATACACGAGGTTTAAATATATATTTATAATTTCACCATATATACAATGTATTTATATAAATGTATTATATATATATACATTTATGTATACTAAAAGTATGGAAGGGTTTAAGATGAAAAGCAACAGTCTCCTAACTTCCTATCCTCAGCCCCTTCCCAGAAGCAATCCCTTTGAACTCTTATGGCCATTTTTTCTGGTGGTCTCCATAAATAAATATAGTAAGTGTATATTTATCAGATGATCTTTGTTATAAATTTTAAACTTTACTGACTTTTTACTATAGTATATTAAATTTTATTTCCCTTCCAGTTTTAAACAAGTGGGGAGATGAGTGTTATCTAAAAACCCCTATGAAGCATTGGTCCCAACAATAACTTTTATTGCGCAATTGGTAGACAAAGTTTGTAATCTCTTTAGATGATATTAACTCATTTAATAACAAGGTCGGTTACAGGGATTAATAAAAAGGAAGATAGAAACTTAAAAACCAGAAAAATAAAGACAATCCTGGACCTTCCCCGCCAAACACATTTAATAGTAAAATAGCAGTTAAAAAAATGGCTAATTGTGAGGCACTGGAATTACAACAGTCTCCTTTAATTGTCAGCAGTGGGTGGCTGGCAGAAAAACGCTAGCCAGTTAGTAGGACCCCCGTAAGCCCTGGCGTAAAGCGAGCCAGGACCACGTGATATCGACGGGCGTCACTCTCCGTGCAGTTTCCATGGTATTCTTCCCAGCCCCCGCCCCTTTGGTAGCAGCAGTCACAAGACCTGCTCCCGGTTTACGGCAGGTGACCACGTGATCCTGGCCCGCAGTCGGGTGGCTGCGGCGAGGTATCCAGATTCCTGAAGGGCGGGCGGTGAGGTCGTAAACGTCGCCGCCGGCGGTCTTTCCCGGTAGGGCGGGCTTGGGAACAACGAGCTGGCTGAGGCATTCATCGCTTAGTGCGTACCTGAGTCTGCTCTTTCTGCCAGGTCTGCCTTGGTCATCCCCACCTCTTTGCGGGTGAAGTCACCTTTGGGTTTCGAGACCTTGGGGTGTGAGGCCCCAACTCGAGACCTCTCCCTTCCCTCTCACCCTCCATCTCTTCCTTTGCACCACCGGATCACTTAGCCTTTGAGCCAGCCAGCGTGGCCTTGCCTTGCGGCCAAGTTTAAGGTGGTAAAGGTAACCGTGGGGCAAGCAGCCCCCAGTGGACAAAGGCAAAGGCGCGAATAGAGCAGGCCGAGGGGCCGCATGCGATAAAAATAGGCGGCTAAGCAGGTGAACAAGGAGAAAAAAAGGAAAAGAGTACTGCGGTTTTAGAAGGGACTGGAAACGACTTGTTGCACGATGGAAGAATCTGACTCTGAGAAAAAGATGGAGAAAGAGAATCTGGGGCCGAGAATGGATCCTCCCATAGGGGAACCGGAAGGATCGCTTGGGTGGGTGAAGGGTATTATGCCAAATCTGGGGGGAGGGGTTTCTAACCGAAGAGAGAGTATTGTGAATTAGAACACACCACCCACGATAACTTACTTATGTTTACCAGTAAGGTAATTGGTACCATACTTTCTGTGACAGGGTAAACTACAGATAATTGGTTGGTAACTGGGCCAAAAGAACTCTTGAGACAGGGACAGGCCTAATGTGAGTCCAGGGAGGTGTGTTCTGAGTAATTTCTGCATTGTTTTGAATTATCAGTAAAGGAGATTTAGCATCACCATATTGAGGATAAGACTAAAACGAGGGTTGGTATCTCCTGGTCAGAGATCAGTGGCTTGAGAATGCTTTCTGTGCCAGTTTGTACCTGAAATTGAGTTCTGTATTTTATATGCTTTGTGCTGAATGAAAGAAACATGACTTGAGACAGCTGCAGGGCTAAAAATGCTCCCAGATTTTTAAAATAGGAGGCTGGCTTTAAAAAGAGGGCATTTATATGTGACAATGTTTGATTTATTAAAGCATTACTGTATGTTGCTTTGATACTATTGTTTTAAGATTATGAAAAACTGAATCTTGAAATTTAATGGCTCATTCGTATCCCTAAACAAATCTTAACTAGGTGCTATCTCCTGAGCATGTAATTCGGGGATAGGGAGCATAAACCCCGTCTTATAATTTAGAAAAATGAGGGCCTCTACTTAAAATAAGGACCCACACACAACTGTACTCAGCTATTGTGCCAAACATGCTCTTGTACATCTCTTACACTCACTTATATTTATTTAGTTCCAATTTGTAAGGCAATTGGATCATGGAAACTCTGTCTCTTGGTTTATATCGGCAGGTGGGTGCTGCCAAATCCAGCCATGAAGAAAAAGGTAAGATGGGTTAGGTACATCAAAAACGTGAAGGTAAGGGTAAGAAGTTACTATTCAAGAATTATTATTTGTGGTGTATGTATACCATCTTTCTTGGACTGTTACAGGAACCTTCTAAGTGTTCTCCCTGACTCTTGTCCCTTTCTTTGCTACTTGATTTATTTTTTCTAATACGTAAATCTAATTGGGTCATTCATGTACTTAATAACTTTTTGTAACTTCCCAAAGCCAGTAGAATAAAATCCAAATGAGTTTGTGGCATTGAATGCCCTTTACAAATCGATTTCTAACTAAATCAGCTGCCACACCTATGCATCTTATCAGCCATACAGAATTTTTCTCCAAATTTACAAATTGATTTGCATTTTGTGCAAGCCATCCACACACAGTACACAGGCTTCTGCCTGCACATTGATGTTGAACCCAACATGTTATCACTATAAAGTCTCATATGAGTTCTCCAGATGGAATTGAACATTCCTTCCCTTGTACTCTATGGTACCCCCTCCATTAGGGTTTAGGCAAAATCGATAAGAGCATAGCTCTAGAGCAAATTTCTGAAAATTTTGAGCTTTTATGTTCAATTGTAAAATGGTGAAAATAATACCTATTTCATAGGGTTGTTAGGAGGTTTAAATGAGGAAATACATATAGAGCATTTAGATAAGTACCTAACAGTTAACCTTGGTAAGTCCTTCATAAACAATTGAGGTTAGATTTCTTAAATTAAAAAACAGAAGGCATGCATCAGATTTACCCTTAACTTAATAATTCAGTTATATAAAAAACTCCAGGAAGATAATGTTCTTGATGAACCTTTTAAAAGTTGCTATCAACAGGGATGCCTAAAAATACCAGAAATTTATGCTTGAATAAGAATAACACCAAAACTTTTTTGTAACAACTTTAGACTGTCTCATTAGTAATATTTCTCTAGTGTAATAAAGTTATATAACTAACTAGATTAAATTGAGCTTGAGTACACTTTCATTAATGTTCCCTATATTTGTAATTAGAAATTTTTATAAATTATCTCACTATTGAAGTTCGAACATGTACGTATACCCCTTTCATTTGAAAAGCAATATAATTGGAACTTTGTGTTTCAATAAATTTGAAAACACTCTTAAAATTCACCTTATCCAATTCCCTCCTAATGCAAGAATCTGTAGCATCTTTGGCAGGTATTTTTCTGCCTTTGTTATATGCTGACATGGACAGGAAGGCTATTCACCTTCATAAGGCCAGCCTTTCCATTGGATAGTTCTCATTGTTAATAAACATCCTTGTTTTATACCTTTGTTTTGAAAGCTTGTTCATTCATTTGATGAACACATTTTGAGCATCTGTTATGTCTTAGACACTGGAGATACAAAGGGGATTCTCCCTGTCATTGCGGACCTCAGACCAAAAAAATGGATAACTGCAGTGTGTTATGGTCCTTGCAGTGCTGTAAGAGCATCCCCCTGGCTGGGTAGCTCAGTTGGTTAGAGCATCATCCCTATACGCCAAGGTAGCAGGTTTGATCCCCAGTCAGGGCACATACAAGAATCAACCAATAAATGCATAAATAAGCGGAACAACAAATCTATGTCTGCCTGCCTTTCTGTCTCTCTGTCTCCTCTCTCCCTTATTTTCTCTCTAAAGTCAATTAATATATAAAAATTTAAAAAATTGTGTTATAGAAGGAGAGAGGTGAGACATACCTAAGCTGGTTTAGGGCATTGGGGTCAGAAGCTTTTTGAGGAGATGATCACTGAACCGAGTTTTGAAGGATGCGCGAACTTGGTTAAAGAAAGAAAAGGGAATGGAAAGTTACTGGCAGAGAGTATAACTTGAAACAAAAACATTGAACAGGGGTCCCTGAAGCTATGGGAGCAATCAAAGGAACAACATGCAGTAAAGTTCAGTATAGCTGGACTGTAAAAGTTCTAGGCCAGGAGGGTCAGAAGATAAGGGCAGAGGAGTAAATAAGCCAGATCAAGGAAGTAGTTATATAAACTTTAAGGGCTTGATTCTATGTTGGCCATGGGACACTTTAAAAAGAGAGTAATGAACAAAATCATGGAGGTAAGTAGGATGAGATCAGTGGTAGAGATGGAAATGTTGACGTTGAGCAGAAGGAAGAATTTTGTTACATTAAAATCTGCCCTGTAGTTTAGTGCACAGGTGGCAAATACAAGGTCCGGCCCCCCACCTTGTTTTATCTGACTTGGCACCTTATTTCTACCTGGTGGCATCGCCAAGCTCTCGCTTTAACTGTTAAGGAGTAGTTACATGTATACGGTCTTAAAATTACATTTAGCCCTTTGAGGGCAACTGTGAGGCTGATGTAGCCCCCCCAGTGAAAATGAGTTTGATAACCCTGGTTTAGTGCATAACACGTTAGATTATGAGAGATCAGGGTTCAATTTCCTCTGAAGTTGGTATGTTTCTAATATAGTTTTGAACATGTGGTAGCATATATTAATAGCATAATAAATTCACTGCAATTCTTTTGCCAAGAGGATGTGAGACTCATGACAGCTAAGTACCTGGCCCCGGGAATTCTAGGTACCTCTGCCTGTACTGTTGGTTGAGGAATTAGTTATCAGTAGCTGGACCAGGTTGTTGGTACTATCACTTCAGGAAAACATCAAGTGCAGGAGAGAAATAGATCCCTTTAGACTTGATTTGCTCTAGATTGCTAACCTCTTTCATTATTTTTCCCACTTTGTCCTTAGGTGCTGTTGATGGGTAAAAGTGGGTCTGGTAAGACCAGCATGAGATCTATTATTTTTGCAAATTATATTGCCAGAGACACACGTCGACTTGGTGCAACAAGTAAGATGTTTTATCGTATTGTAAAGCCAGGTGACCTTAACTATTAATGATTTGCATAACACTCTTGGTTGCAGTTACTTGGGGATGCAGCGGTTGAGAGGTATCTTTTGCAGCATGTTTTCCCCTTTTTTTCATTTCTTCTCAGAGGTGTGTGGCCTAATTCTGGTTACTGCTGCTTGCTTTGTTGAGATGGCTTTTTCTTTCCTAGGTTGCTTACCAAGCGGGATGCTTTTGCCCAACTTCTTTTTTATCCTGCTCTTTCTGAAACAAGCATAGGGACCCTTGTGTTTATTTGTTTTTTGGGGGGGAGATGTTTGTTTGTAACTGTCATTATATGAAGGGAAATGAATTGATAGGTATTAACAAGTATAACAGTAAAATTGCAGAAGATTTTTTTAAAGCAATAGTTAGTGCTAGTCTTCATTAAAAGGTTAATTGCTGGGGATGGGGGTTTGCGAGAGGGAGGTTAACCTAATCTGTAGTCTGTTGCTTCTCTTCCTGGATATACATCAATGTTCTCACTGAAGTTCGATTTTTGACTTGAGAAATAATTCATTGCCTTTTATGGTTTGAATATTAAATCTGGCTTCGTAGTATAGGCTAGCTGGGCTGCCAGTGGATCCAAGTTCCTGAGAGACCCCTTTTGTCTCTAGGCTGTAATGCCGTTTCATTTTGCAGCATCCAAGTATTTCTGGATTCTGCCCTCATCCTTGGCCTCCAGGTGATGAAACCATTGCCCCATCTGGCTTTTTTCTGAGTTTCAAGCAGCTTGAATGCTTTTAGAGACAAGTCACCTACTACTTCATAAGGATCTCACTATGGTTTCAAGAACAACACATCTTTTAAAAACACCTAATATTCCACATACTGAGATTCAAAGGAGAAGGAAACCTCATTTCTGTTCTTAAAGTGCTGAGAGTATAGTATAGATTCTCGATTGGAGCACCTCTAATGGTTAGAAAGCTATTTCTTAGTTACAACCCTGAGTCTATTTCCCTTTACTTCTGCTAGCTGTCCCCTTTCCATTCTTTTGAGCCTCTACAAATTTTTGAGCACGATTAGTGTCTCGATCTATCCTAGCCATCTTTTCTCTCCTAATTCTTACCTTCCTTAAGCTAAACATCTCCAGTTCCTTCATCTATTCCTCATTCGACATTATTTGGAAGAATTTTTAAGGACTTATTTGAACATGTCTACATTTTTCTTAAAGTGCTAAGACCTGAATATTGATGTGGCCTAATCAGACAGAGTAGGACTATTACATCTCTTCTTCTGGGCAGCACAGTCTAGCTCTCTTTTTGTGGAATGACCTTCGTTAGACTGAGACATAATAAAAACACCCAGTTTTTTCCACATACATATTATTATTAAAACACATATTCTCCTGATTATTGTGCGGTTATTATTTTGAACCTAAGAATAAATGCTTAACCTCTATTAAATCATTCAGTTTTGTTTTAGCCCATGATATGTTCTTCAACCTGGTATTGGTTAACTGAAGTCCAGAACAAGTCACTGTCTTACTGGGCCTCAGTTACTTTATCCATAGGAAAGAGTTTGGATCCTCTTTTTATTTTAGCTACTTATTCTCTTGTCTGATAGGTTAGCCATAAGCCTTTGTACAGTTTGTACATTGGATAAGCATCTCCTCTGGTTTTCATCTAAGTGTGCATCAAAAATCTTGGTCAGGATAGAGTCCTTTGGCCTGTCATACCTCAAGAGACTTCCTTCTAGAAAGTACCTGTTCAGTTTTATCCCTGTGTATGCTAAATTTTTTTCTGTTCTTCCAAGTTAAATATCTAGACCTAATAATAATCATATGGTTTTAGTAGATTAGAAGAAGCTAATGTTTATTGCATGCTATGTTACTTACTTTAGTCCTTATATTACAATAATTTCATTTTAATAGATGAAGAAAGTATGACCTAGAAGTTAAGCTCACTCAACTTGTAAGCATTTGGGCTAGAGTATCAGTCTATGCTCCTGCTCTATTCATTATACTACAACCACAATTCTGTGAAGACTTTCTCTTTGTGTTTTAAATTCTGCACATTTTACTGAAGTGTCTCTTTTTTCTAGTTCAATTAATATTTTTGTATTCAGCTAGTTAGCAGAGTTGCTGGAACACCCTAAGTCTAGTGAATAGTCTTTCAACCCAGTGTGTTGCAAATTATATGACTATGTACATTAAAGCAAGCCATTCATTCAACAAGTGCTTTTCTGGAGCTTCCTGTGTGCCAGGCACTGTGAATGGGACAGAGCTCTTCCCTTAAGGATATCTCAAGTGGGACCTTTATTGATAATACTTTGTTAGTAATTACTGCATTTCCTTAAAGGTAGTAAAACTATACTTTAAAATATTATGTTGGCCTTAATACATTTGTGTTTCATTAGCTAGTTCATAATTGCTCAAGAAAGGTCTGGTTCTAATGTTTAACTTATAGGCCAATTAAAAATATACATAGGGCATCAATATTTACTTGCTATTCCTTTTTATGCAACTTTTAATTTTCTTTAAAAGTAGTACAAGTGTATTTCAAAAATACTACATCACCTGTAATGTTTACTGTTTTTCTAGATTGTTATTGATGAAAAAAATCTAGTTGTATCTAGTTAAACTTAGAGCCTACTTTGTTTTGAAATTTGAAGTAAGGATGCAGAGTGGTGGTATAATGAATTTATTAGGGGGCTATTAAAATGTGTTGTTGGAAGAGTAAACTTGTTAATAAAATATGACTGTGAAGTATTTCAGTCTAAAACACTGTTGACAGCTCCGAGATTTCTTACCTTCTCAAAATTCTCTGTTCCCTTGGCTTTTATTTAATGCTTTTATTACCCTGGTTTTCTTCCTTTATCTTTAAATATCCCTCCCCCTTTTTAAAGAATATTTTCTTCTTTCTGCCCCATAAGTGTATGTGATTTCCCAAAGCTCTGTTCTTAATTCATTTTAGTTGCTCTAATAACAGCAGAACAAGAAGACTAAGAGAGCCAGAAGGCCGTATAGGAGACATGAGACTAAAAGGGAGACAGAAAGTGGGGGTTAGATCATAAAGTGCCTTAAAAGCCCTGTTAGGTAGTTCGAACTGAGAGTAGAGGGCAGCTCCTAGAGTATTTCAAACAGAAAAGTAACACGGTCACATTTTATTATTTTTGATTTACAGCTTTAATGACTAGAGTAATACTTGTGAAAAACTCAAACATCAAAGAACTGTAGAAAGTCTGTTCCTTTCCTTATTCTCAGGTCTACTTCCTGGGGACAACCACCATTAGTAGTTTGAAGCTACCCTCTGGCCTTTTTTCCCTAGGCATATACAATCATACATATACAGAGAAATTTTTTTTCTTTTCAAAGAAAACTGAAATAAAAATCTGCATCCGGGAGAGATCATTGTATCTGTAATATGGAGGATAGATTGGGGGTAGGACAAGGTAGAAACAGATGAACAAGTTAGGAAACTATTTTAGTAGACCAGGTAAGAGATCATGGAGTGTTAACTTGAATTAGGGTGGTGGTCATAAATACGGTGAGAAGCCAGTGGATTTGGGATGTATTAAAGAGGTAGCGTCAATAAGACTTGCTGGTAGGTTTGGAGGGAATGGTGGGGTAAAAGAGGGGACTTAAGAATGAAGCTAAGGTTTTGGCTTAGACAGCTGGTTAAATTCACTAAGATGGAGAATACCGAAAGAGGAATAGATTTTGTGGGAAAAATGGGAAGATGATGAGTTATATTTGGGTGCACTGAGTTTGGGATACTTGTGGTTTAATCAAGTGAAGATGTCCAATATATGATTCAGAAAGGGAGAAGAGAAATCTGTGTTAGAGATACATATTTACGAGTTATCAGTTATCAAATGGTAAATAAAATAATATGAATACACTAGCTTGCCTGGAAGAATACATAGAGAAAGATTAGGTGGCCGGAATCCCGAAGAACTCTAACATTTAAGGGACAGAAAGAAGAATAGGAGCCTGTGAAGGAGGATCTGCCAGAAAGGTTGTAGGTGTGACATCAGAAGCCGAGAGAAGAGAATTTTTTGAGAAGTGTAGTCAACAGTGTCATACTGTAGAAGGTAAGATAAGGACTAAAAAGTCCACTGGATTTGGCAATGGGGCCGTTGGTCACTTTATCTGTGATAATGGGAATAGAAACCAGATGTCTATTCCATGTGCTCCATATCTAAACAGTCACTGAATCCTGTCACTTTTGTTATTGTTTTTCCCTTTCTCAGTAGCACTTCTTTCCATTTTTTTTTTAGTACTAGACCGTTTACATAGTCTTCAAATTAATAGCAGTTTGAGCACCTACTCTCTCGTAGACTCTGTTGGAAATACAAAGACATGTAAGATATGATTCCTTTTCCAAGGAGGGGGAAGTAAAGGGGAGAAGGGAAGTAGTTTGAGCACCTACTATGTGCCAGGCACTTTATGTATGATAACCCTTTTAATCTTTATAATAATCCTGTGAGGGCAGTAGTATGCCTCCTAGCTTTCTTAGTAGAAGAAGAAACTAATACTTAGAGGTTAAGTGACTTGCCAAAGGTCACACAGAGAAGTAGAGCTGGCATTTGAACTAAGAACTGTCTGACTCCAATGCTCACTTTAAAAATAATGCTTTGCTGCTTATGACTGAGTTTATGAACATGTAAAATTGCACAAAAGTTAGGTAGCAGTCACTTTAAGCAACAATTTCAAAATAGTCTTAGAAGAAAAACCACTGTGTTATTGATTGGCTATATCACATACATTTTAAAGGTGATAGTTGCTAGACTTAATTTGTAGGATAAGAATTTTTACTATTCCTTCTTATGACTTTTAGTGCCTGGCAGAGAGTAGATGCTTAATAATTGTTTGAATGAATTCAGAGGGAGTGATGACGGTAAGTGGGGGTGGCCAGGTAGGGCTTTTAGAGAAAGTGGATTTTAGTTGGGTCTTAAAAGATGAATCTAAGAAAGGTGGGGAGGACTGTCCAGGCAGATGGACAGAGTAGCCAAAGTATAGGGTGAGTGGGAGGGAAGTGTAAGACAGAGGTCGCAAACAGGCATACGGCCTCTAGATGTGTTTTGTTTGGCCTGTACAGTGTTTCAGAAAAATTGGAATTAGATACAAATACGTAAAAGTCCCCATAAAAGTCTGAATTTCCCAGTACTATTGAAAAACTCAAAGATCTGTTAACCCTGAACCCATGTTCCTGCATGGCAAATAAGCTAGAGCTAAGTAATTTCCACCCACTCTGTTGTCCCCTTGGGTGAATGTTTACTTTCCATAAATGATTAGCTTTGCTCTCCTACACTTACTGGCCTGGCCCATATCAGCAAGTTTGCGACCCCTGATGGAAGGTCTGTTGGGGGTTGGGGAGGTAGTGGGATTTGGGAGGACTATGAATAAACCAAATTGGACTGGAGCAAAAGACATTATTATTAATGTGCATCATTGGGGAATATAAAGGTAGATTGGAAGCCAAATTCTGAAGGACCTTGAATGCCCCCTTGTAGATGTAGAGGATCCATTGAAAGTTTTTTGATCGGGGAGTGACATGTTCAAAGTGGTGTTAAGAAGATGAACCTAGCAGTAGCCTATAGGATGAAATAAAGTGGGCACGGGCTTCCTGGTGGAAGGCAATTATGGAGCTGCTGTCGGTGTGTAGGCTCGAGAAGAGAAAGGCCTTCCTTAATGTTAGTGGCAGGTTGTAAAACAGTGGAATTGAGTGAGATTACAAAGGAGTAGCAATGAATTGAATGTGAAATTGGTTGGGTCTGTAGCAAAGTAAGGAATATAATGGGAGTACATATGGTTATATCATGTTTTTTGTATTTTTTGTTTTTAAATATTTTGTGTGTGTGTGTGGAGGGCATTGGTAGGGGCAGGTAGCTCAGGGAAGAGCTATTAAACGGTATACAGTTCTGTCTTTTTTGCTGAAGTTTTAACATTAGTAGTAGTATAATTGGAGGTTGTTTCTGCTCTAAGCACTAAACTACTAAAAAGTAAAATGACTTACACAAAAGCCAGTTCTATAGCTGAGGGTAGTTCGGGTGCCTACCTTGCCACTAAACCATGCTACTAAGCTGAAAATCACCTTCTTGTGGCTTTGAGCATCTCACTCCACTTTGGTCCTTCTCAATTCCGGGGGTTAGTGCTTTGCTTATTTTGAACTTCACTGCGCATGCTGCAATTACTAGATTTGTTACATTTATCTTCCAGTTGATGTAGAACATTCCCATGTTCGATTTCTGGGAAACCTGGTGTTGAACCTGTGGGACTGTGGTGGGTAAGTACCATCTGATTACCTGTTTGTGAGGCCACTGGCAGTGATCATGACATCTAGTTTTCTCAGCATGGAGTATACACTAGAGTAACCATAACTCATAATAATACATTGGACAAGAATTTCTTTAGAATCGGTGTTTATTAAATAAAGATCTCTGATTGTATCTCAGCCCGGTTTGCTGCGTTATATTGGATTGATCATTTAAACTCTCTGAGCCACAGTTTCTTCATTTGTATGGTAGGGGTAATGATGATGTCAACTTGTAGGGTCATTCTGTTGATTCAGTATATATATATATATATATATATATATATATATATATATATATATATATATACACACATACACTTAAAGCATAGCCAAGTGCTTCACAAACTGTTGTTAGTTCAGTGTTTCCCAGCTTGCAGCACAGAACTAGCCATGGACTAGTTGCTCAATGAGTATTTGTTAAGAAAAAATAGCCAAATATTCCAAAAGATAATGACTCCATTATTGGGAGATGCATCACTTAACATACTAGCAGATTTCTCCATACAAATCCTTCCTCATTATTATTGCTTCCAATTTTGTAATCTGTGCCAAAATTAGTCCAACTCCCTTGCACAATTAGGCAATAAGATGTTAATGTCATTTTTACACATAAGGCAGCTGAGGTGCAGTGAGATGATGTATCTCCTAAGGTCACACAGCCATTCAAAAATAGCAAGGTATCACCTGAGGAAAAATACCTTGCCATTATTACAGGGCTGTGTGACCTTAGGAGATACATAATCTCAGGACTAGAAGTGAGGTTCATGATTTTTTTAAATAAAAAATTCTGGGTTTTGCTACACATCTGGTCATTGAGAACTTCTTGGGAAGTGGTACACAGCCTAAGGGACAAAGGGCAACATTCTGCTAAAAAGTTACCTTGGAGTCATTTTCATATGATTTAGAGTGGTCTGAACAGCCAATGTGTTATTTAAAACTTAATTAAGGAGTGTAGCTGAAGCTCCTATAGAGGTATGATTATAGTTTTCTTTTTTTAATTTTGTTTTTTCACATTCTTTAGTCTTTTTCTTACTGTATTTATTTCCATTATCATTTATCCCCCTTATACCAACCTCGCTTCCCTGCAGTTACCACACCTGTCCATGTCCATGAGTCCTTTTTCCTTGATCCCTCCGCTCCCTAACCTACCCTGTGAGCTGTCTGTCTGCCTGCTCTCTATTTATGGGTCTGTCTCTATTTTGCTTGTTAGTTCAGATTGTTCATTAGATTCTACATATGAGTGAAGTCATATGGTATTTGTCTTTCACTGGCTTATTTCACTTAACATAATGTTCTCCAGGTCCACCCATACTTCACAAAAGGTAAAACTTCTTTTTTATGACTGAGTAGTATTCCATTATATACAGGTCCCATAGGTGTTTTATCCACTCATATACTGATGGACAGACACCTGGGCTGCTTCCATATCTTGACGATTGTAAGTAATGATGTGATGAACATAGTGGCACTTAAGTTCTTTTGATAGTGTTTCAGGTTTCTTTGGATAAATTCTCAGAAGTAGGATCACTGGGTCAAAAGGCAGATCCATTTTTCATTTTTTGAGGTAACTCCATACTGCTTTCCCCTGTGGCTGCACCAAGCGTATCCACCAACAGTGCAAAAGGGTTCCCCTTTCCCAAAGCCCTTACCAGCACTAGTTGTTTGTTGATTTATTGATGATACCCATTCTTACAGGTATGAAGTAATATGTCATTGTGGTTTTACTTTGCATTTCTCTAATGATTAGTGATGTTGAGTATCTTTTAATATGTCTCTTGGCCATTCATATAGCCTCTTTGGAGAACTGTCTACTCAGCCCATTTTTAATTGGGTTTTATATATTTTTGGTGTTGGTTAACCACTTATCAGGTGTATCAGTGAATATGTTCTCCCATTCAGTGAGTTATTTTTTAATTTTGTTGTCGATTTTGTTTGCACACAAAAACTTCTAAGTTTGATGTAGTCCCATTTGTTCATTTTTTCTTTTGTTTCCCTCGCCTGAGAACATATATCAGAAAAAATATTGCTACAAGCAGTGGCTGATATTTTATTGCCTATGTCATTTTCTAGGAATTTTATCATTTCAAATCTAATGTTTAAGTCTTTAACCCACTTTGAATTTATTATTTTTAAAAGTATATTTTACCGATTATGCTGTTACAGTTGTCCCATTTTTTTCTTCCCTTTATTCCCCTCCACCCTACACCCTCCTCCCACTAGCATTTCAGTACCTTAGTTCATGTTCATGAGTTACACTTATAAGTTCTTTGGCTTCTCCATTTCCTATACTGTTCTTAACCTCCCCCATCTATTTTGTATCTACCATTTATGCTGCTTATTCCCTGTACCCTTCCACCCATTCTTCCCCCTCACCCCTGGGAACCCTCCCTGTGATAGCCATTTTTGTGATTTTTGTTCCTATTTTAGTTGTTTGCTTAGTGTATTTGTTTTTTTTAAGTTTAGTTGTTGATAGTTGTGAGCTTGTTGTCATTTTTACTGCTCATAGTTGTGATCTTCCTTTTCTTAGATAAGTCGCTTTAACATTTCATATATAAGGGCTTGGTGATGGTGAATTACTTTAACTTGACCTTATCTGGGAAGCACTTTATCTGCCCTCCCATTCTAAATGATAGCTTTGCTGGATAGAGTAATATTGGATGTAGGTTCTTACCTTTCATGACTTGGAATTCCTCTTTCCAGCCCCTTCTTGACTGTAAGGTCTCTTTGAGAAATCAACTGCTAGTCTTATGGGAACTCCTTTGAAGGTAACTGTTTCCTTTTCTCTTGCTGCTTTTAAGATTCTCTTCTCTTTAATTTTGGGTGATATAATTATGATGTCTGTGCTTCCTTGGGTCCAACTTCTTTGAGACTGTGAGCTTCCTGGACCTCTCCTGGAAGTCTATTTCCTCCACCAGACTGGGGAGGTTCTCCTTCATTATTTTTTCAAATAAGTTTTCAGTTTCTTGGTTTTCCTCTTCTCCTTCTGGCACCCCTGTGATTCAGATGTTGGAACGTTTAAAGTTGTCATGGAAGTTCCTGAGTTTCTCCTTGTTTTTAAATTCTTGTTTCTTCATTCTGTTTTGGTTGAATGTTTATTTCTTTCTTCTACTGCAAACCTTTGATTTGAGTCTAGGTTTCCTTCCCTTCTGAGAGAACTGTTGGTTCTCTGTACATTTTCCTTTATTTCACTTTGCGTAGCCTTCACTTTTCTTTCTATTTTGTGACCGTACTCAACTAATTCTGTGAGCATCCTGATTACCAGTATTTTGAACTCTGTATCTGATAGATCAGCTATCTCTTCATCACTCAGTTGTATTTTTTCTGGAGCTTTGATTTGTTCTTTCATTTGGGCCATATTTTTTTGTCTCAGCATTCCTATTACATAGTAAGGGGTGGAGCCTCAGGTATTTGACAGGATGGGGCAACCCAGGTTGCTGTGTTGTGATACCGTATTGGGGGAGGAGTTCAGGAGGGCAAAAAGCCGCTTGCTGAGCTCTAACCTTTCAGTCACTTCTGCCACTACCTACATGCAAATCGGGCCCTTCTGGTGCTGATTCCTGGGTGGGTGGGTTTGTGTACATTCTAGGACCTTGTGGGTCTCTCCAACAAACTGTCCTGTGAGGCTGGGAGATTCTCCTGCTGCCTCAGCCCCCACAGGTTTTTACAGTCAGAGGTTTTGAGGCTTTATTTACTTGCACTGGAACCCTGGGTTGTGCGGTCTGTCTTGTTCCCCAGTTGTTCCTCCCCATTTATCTGGATGAAAATGTGGGACCACCTGGTCCACCAACCACCACTTTGCCACTAGTCTTGAATAAGCTGTCTTTAACCTGTTATATGTACTTCCTCTATCAAATATTAGTTGGCTAGAAAGGTATGGGTTTATTTCTGGGCTCTCTTCTGTTCCATTGATCTGTGCCTTTTTTTATGCCAGTACCAGACTGTTTTGGTTACTGTAACCTTAAGTATAGTTCGATATTAGGTAGTGTGAGTCCTCCAACTTGTTCTTTCTCATGATTACTGTTATTCAGGGCCTTTTGTGGTTCCATGTAAATTTTTGAAATACTTGGTCTAGTTCTAGTGAAATATGTTGTTGGAGTCTTGATAGGAAGTGCATGGAATCTATAGAGTGCTTTGGGTAGCATGGACATTTTAATGTTTAGTCTTCCTGTTAATGAACACAGTATGTGCTTCCCGTTATTTGTGTCTTCTTTAATTACTTTCCTCAGTATCATAATTTTCCAAGTGCAGGTTTTTACATCCTTGGTTAGATTTATTCCTAGGTATGTTATTCTTTTTGAAACAATTATGATTATGGTTGTTTTCTTAACTCCTCTTTCTTATAGTTCAATTATTTGCATATAAAAGTGCAAATGATTTCTAGATATACATTTTATAACCTGCCACTTTGCTGAATTCACTTAACAGTTTTAGTAGTTTCTTGGTGGACTCCGTGGTTCTCTATATATCATGTCATCTGCAAATAAAGACAGTTTTACCTCTTCCTTTCCAATTTGAATGCCTTGTATTTCTTCTTCTTGTCTGATTACTATGGCTAGGATTTCCAGTACTATGTTGAATAAGAGAAGTGAAAGTGGACACTTATGTTGTTCCCAACCTTAAGGGGAATGCTTAATGAAGCTGTCAGTGAGTTTGTTGTATATGGCCTTTATTATGTTTGGGTATGTTCCCACTACTCCCACTTTGCCGAGAATTTTTATTATAAATGGGTGTTGGATTTTATCAAATGCTTCTTCTGCATCTATTGATATGATCATGTGGTTTTTATTCTTCATTTTGATTGTGTGGTTTAGCATATTTATTGATTGGCAAATGATGTACTAACCCTGCATTCTCAGAATAAATCCCCCTTGATCATGATGCTGTATTTGATTTGTTAATATGTTGAGGATTTTAGCCTCTGTGTTCATCAGGAATATTGGCTCATAATGTTCTTTTTTGTGATGTATTTATCTGGTTTTGGAAGTAGAATAATGCTACTCTTGAAAAGTAAGCATCACTAATCATCATTCCCTCATCTTGAATTCTTTGAGATAGTTTGAGGAGAGGTGTTGGTTCTTCTGAGAATGTTTGATACAATTCATGTGAAGCCATCTGGTCCAGGGATTTTATTTGTTGTTGCTTTTTTAAAGATTTTATGTATTTATTTTTAGAGAGAGGGGGAAGGGAGAGAGAAAGAGAGGAAGAGAAACATCAGTGTGTGGTTGCTTCTCACACATCCCCCATCGGGGACCTGGCCCACAACCCAGGCATGTGCCCTGACTGGGAATCAAACTGTGACCCTTTGGTTTGCAGCTCGGTGCTCAATCTACTGAGCCACATCAGCCAGGGCTAAAACGTTTGTGTTGTTTTTTTTTTTAATTTTTGCTACTCCGCTTCAGTGTTTTTTCTTTTACTGTGTCTTCCAAGTCATTGACTCGATCCTCTGCTTCATCTAACATACTGTTCATTCCTTTTTGTATATTACTTAGTTCAGATATTATGTTCTTTATTTCTGACTAGTCTTTTTTTTATGGTTTCTAAGTCTTTTTTCATGCTGTTGAGTACCTTTATATACATTACTCTAAACTCTGTATCTGATAAATTGCTTACCTCCTTTTCATTTAGTTCTTCTTCTAGAGAATTCTCTTGTTCTTTCATTTGGGGTCTGTTTCTTTGTCTTCCCATTCTGGTTGCCTCTTTGTGTTTGTTTCTGTGCATTTGGTAGATCTGCAAAGACTCTGGTGCAGCTTATGTGAGGTACTGCCTGTGACTGGCTCTGTCAACCTGTTTGGAACTATCGGTGATTCACAGCTTGTTGCTCCCTCTCATGGGCCTGGATGTGTGCCTAAAGAACCAAGGCTGGCTTTTACTGGCACTGGGTCTGGGGTAGGGTCAGCTAAAGTCTCAGAGCTCCCCAAAGGTCTGCCCCGGCTTGCAGGGTTTCTCTTAGGCTTGATGTCTGAAATAGCCTCCAGCTGTACTCAGCAGTAGAGCTTAATATCCACAGGGTGAGGCAAGAGAGATTCCTGTGCGTGGGGCTATTGCTTCCCTATTGCTCCACTGCAAGACTGACGCTTCTTGCAATGGAGTGCTCTGCCCTAACAGATGGATTCTGAAGTATGGGGAATGACTCAACACAGGGATTCTGGCAGCTGTTCCTTCAGTTCTCTCCCCAGACTCACCAACCCCAGAATCTCCTCATGTGTCTCTAGTCCACTCTGCTCTATCTTTGCCAGTACCCAGGGTAAATGGCTGCAAATGAATTCCTGGGCATTGGCACTTTAGGAGGCTCTCGGTGTCTTCAGCCAGCTCTCCTTGGAGGATAGAAACCCTGCTGCTCTTCACAGCTGGGTGTTAACTGGGCAACTTTCTGGTTCTGGTGCTGTAGGCTGGGGAGCCCAGCTTGGGGTTTAGACCCCCCACCTCTTGGGGTGGGGACACCCTTCTGGCCACTGAAATGTCCCTGTGGAATTTCTACTGCCACCCATGGGAGCCCAGCCAGTTCTCTCACACCTCCTCACTTCTTGCCAATCTTGTGGTGGTGGTGGTATTTTTTCTATAAGTCCTTTGTTATGAGGATTCTCTCCAGCTAGTGTTAAGTTGGTTATTCAGGATGATTTTTCTATAACTTAGTTGTAATTCCAATTTGGTCCTAGGAGGAAGTTAGTGTAGCTTCCACCTATTCTGCCACTATCTTGTATCTTTTGACTAGTTAATTCATCAGCAAATAGTAACTGGGCACCTATTCTATGGCGGACTCTTTGCTAAAAGCTAGGAAACAATGGCAAACAGTAATAGACACATTCCTTGCCTTCATAGAACTTTCTGTTTAGGGAAATGAATGCCATTCATTAAAAAATTCATGCAGACATGTGATGTCACACTTGTAAATATTAAAAAGAACAGTGTTTTGGTATAAGGGCCTGTAATGACTAGATTTATTTATATGGGAGGTCAGGGATGGTTTCTCTGAGTATGGTTTGCACTGAAATCTGAAGGGATAAGTTGGAGTTAATGAGATGCAGGAGTAGTGGCACATGGGACACAATGAATGGCATGTGTAAAGACCCGAGGTGGGTAGACCAGGGGCTCTGAGAACTGAGAGCCGGTCAAAGTATGTTTGGAACACAAGGGAGAGAGGCTTTAGGTGGTGCATGGTGAAGCTCAAGAAGTTGTTGTGGCCAGACCTATTTGCTATTATTTCCCCTTTAATTTGAAGCCTTGAAATGATCTTTCACATGGGATAGATCATCAGTACAAGTGAGTAAACTGAGGGCTTGCTTACTACCCAGATTTTTGTTCCCTACTAGACAGGACAACTTCATGGAAAATTATTTCACTAGCCAGCGAGACAACATCTTCCGAAATGTGGAGGTTCTGATTTATGTCTTTGATGTGGAGAGCCGCGAACTGGAAAAGGACATGCACTATTATCAATCATGCCTGGAGGCCATTCTGCAGAATTCTCCAGATGCCAAAATCTTTTGCTTGGTGCACAAAATGGATCTGGTGCAGGAGGATCAACGGGACCTGGTAAGACACAGAAAGGGCGCTGCAGCAAATGGTGGACACGCTTTGTAAGCTTTCGTGGAGGTATAGGTAAATTGTCTTTCTCTTTTCAGGGAAAAATCTCCACATAAGCTTTCAAACTAAAGTTCTGTCATTTGTTTTCTTTTTAAACACTCATAAACAAATTGTTCATGGTAAGGGAAAGAGTATTTATTTAAAAGATAATTTTAAAATTAGGTAAGGAACCTGACCATGTAATATCACTAAATATGTTAATTGCCCCTGTGTTACTACTGTCCTTCAGGGCAGGCAGTAACTGTCAAGTAACTGCCAGATGAAGAAATATTACAGCTTCCTTAGGTTAACTTTGGAAACTGTATACATCAATTCAAGTGCTAGTCACACTGAGTTAGGCACAATGGCAAGTTCCTTATCATTGCACTGATACAGTGTACTGATCTTTTCTAGTGTGGGAGTTAGTACACAGAAATTTAAAACGGAAGCAGAAGAGACACAGTAAAAAGGTCAGACTCCCAGCTAGCTATGAGACCTCCAAGATTGGCAAGTCACAAAATAGTCTAGCTTTAGTTTGCCCAATATAAAATTAGAGGATTGGATTTTAAAGTCTAGGGCAAAAGAGAGGGTCCACTGTTTTTAAGGAATAAGCATGAGGAAAACAGTTTTAGAATATACTGGTGATACAGAAGAATACAGTTCCTCTGCAGGTTGGAGCCTAGGAGTCTAAGGATACCCTTTATTTAACTAAAGGATTTTTTTTTGGTAATAGTTGTGGTCAGGAATACTTTTTTCCCATAACTAGTTACAGTATTGCCTCCAGTGTTCCAGTGTTTGGGTATGTTTTCTTGTTTCTAGGTTAGCTTATAGGCTTTCAAAAACCACTGGACAGAGTTCTGTATTTAATTCTGAAAACTACTTTGAGTATCTAATGTCTTTATTCCTTTTTTCCTCTCCCTCTCTCACTTCATTTTAATTTTATTTTAGTCCAGGCTGAAAATCTGCATGTAGCTTGGGGCTTGAGATTCTGAGTGCTTTGATATGGTTCTTGCTGTTCTTTTTTTCCTGCTGTTTGTTTTGTATCCTTTACAAAAATCACTTCATTTCTTGTCACAATTTGTAATAGAAAAGCCTAGAGCATCCAACAAATGATCTCATGGATTTTTTAATTCTAATTTTTGTGATCGACTTACCTAAATACTTATACAAATCTCTCCAAAGATACATTAATTTTCTTTGTGGTATTTTAAACTAAATTAAGAAAAGTATATTCTGTTTCACCAAAGATTCAGAGTTGGAAGTTTTGAAGTAAAAATGACTAGGTTGCTTCCCTAAACATCAGTTTCAAGTAAGATAGACATTTCTCTCTGTGTATTAGTCAGGATTCCTTACAGAAGCAGAGCCAGTAATAAGTGTCTTTGTGTAGATGGATAGATAGCAGGGGGTGGGGAGAGAGATTGATTAATGGATTTTAAGGAGTTGACTCATGTAATTGTGGGGACTAGCAAGTCTGCAATATTTTCGGCAGGCCTGTAGGCTAAAGAGGCGGGAAAGATAAGATACTGCAACTCAAGTCTGGAGGCAATCTCGAGGCAGAATTCTTCCTTCCTGAGGATGGTGATTTTTCCCTTTTAAAGCCTTCACCCACATCAAGGAAAGGAATCTGCTTTAAGTCTACTGATTTCATATATTAAGCTCCTCTAAAAAATAAACTCCACAGCAACATCTAAACTGGTATTTTACCAAACGTCTGGGTATATGGCCTAGCCAAGTTGATGCACAAAATTAACCATCACTGTGTGTATACACACTTTACTACATTTATGGAAATGTGTGTGTATTTGTATAAATAGATATTTCCCATATGTTTGTGGGCACATACACAGATACGCATGATAGATTTTTTGGGGGGGGGTGTTTGGGAGGTATTATATCTATATAGCCAAGTAATTACAGTCCAAACAGAATGCATATATGTATGCATGAGAGAAATCTACACAGGTTAAAATATTTTGATTTTCAAAGTTTACATGGGATATTGATCTTAAAATTACCCAGATTGGGTGATTTAGAATGTTGTATGTGTTTTTTTAAGACTACTCTACATAGTAAATTTTAGTTTTTAACATAGTGCTCTTAGTACTCCACACAAGCAGCACAGGCCTGAAGAATTCCAGTAGCTGTTGCACTTTTAGACCTGACCTGAAAACATTTCTGCCGTCCTAGTTTCTGACATAATGTACACATTGAAAAATTCTGAAGAGGCAATGCTTCCTGTTTAAAATATACTGAAATAATTACATCAAAGATTTTGCAAAGAAAGAGGAGAACTGTATATTCTTATCAGTATGTTGGACTTTTAAATTCAGATTTTTAAAGAGCGAGAGGAAGATCTGAGGCGTCTGTCTCGCCCTCTGGAATGTTCTTGTTTCCGAACATCGATCTGGGATGAAACTCTCTATAAGGTGTGTATGTTTCTCTGAGTTCCCGCATTTTAGAGCATGGAAAAAAGCCAGAAGGGTATTACCAAAAGGAAAAGATTTAAAACTCTGTCATAGCCATCTAAATATGTTGAATTTTTGGAAAAATCTATAATAAATCATTTGAAAAATATCAAAATTAACCTTAAGAGATTTGGGTTATGATCTTAGATTCAGTTGATGTACCTACCAACCTCACTGAATTAGCCAGTTTGCTCATGAATAATTTGACACTGATCTTCATGACAGCCAAGGTTTTACTAGCTGTCATCCATTTTGACTCCAGTCTGGCCTCAATGCTGATTGGAGCTGTGTCTGATACTCAGCTACTTCTACAGGATACATGCTAGTCCGCCAAAGTTTGGATGGCAGTAGAAGAGCAATACTTAAGGGAGAGATTGGAGAAGGGGGAGAGATTGGAGAAGGGGGTCTTAAATTGAGACATATTAGGCCTAGAATTTGGTAGCTTCCACTCTCATGCCAAGTGGAGACTTGCGTGCTTCCAACCAGAAAGATTGTTCCCATTGCTGGAATGGACACTATGCTGCTTGCAGCAGTTGCAGAGGTTACAGTAATAGCTGTGTTATGGACAAAGCCGAAATGACCTTATTGGCACATAGGTTCCTTATCCTGCTTCCTCCCTTTCTCCTCCTGATCTAGTGATTTGAAACACTGGCTCCTTTAGGTCTTCCTGTGCTCAGACCTTTTCTTCGGACTGCTTCTGGTATCTATTGACAAGTCTAACTCCAGATGGGAAAACGTTCTTATCTGTCACTGGTAGCCACAGCCTCAGTTTCAACTGCATCTGACAAGTATCTACAACCAGAAGCACAGAAACCTGATTTACCAAGGAGAAAAAGAAAGAAACAAATTGGACTTTAACAGCTAGCCATTGCATTTATTTTTTAACTAATTCATTTTTCCCCAATATTATGTTGACCAGCCTCACTCAAATAACATAATTTCTGAGATACCTGTCTAGGAAATACTGTTCTAGATTAATTCGGGCCGAATTTCTCTCAAAGCCTTATTCCCAAAGAACAGGTAACCGTGAATAACGATGGACATGATGCACTGATAAGAACCAACTGCGGTGTGAAGGATGGCAATACATAACACGACCAAAGACATTTGGCTAATCAGAACACTGCTGTGAGTGACAATGTCTCTGCTGTGGTTAGCTTTGGTGTCTTCTCCAAGGTAAATTCAGCAGTGACATTAACACCGACCTGGGAACTTGGAACCTGAAACCCCATGCCTAAGTAATAAAACTAATTGGAACAGAGACATGGCACTACTATTGCTTACATAAATGTTGCATAGAGCTAACTTAAATTTTCATATTAAGTTTTATTCTGCAAGCACTCACCATGTACCTGCTTGATGCTGTAGGACGCACAAATGACTAAGACCAGGTTCCTGACCTCTAGTAGGGGAGAGAAGAACACTATACACCTTACCAGACTAACTAGAGTGAGATTGAAGGAAGTATTATAATGGAAATTCAAATAAAAGAGTCTTACAAGAATAGAGGGAGGGTGCGGTTAATTTTACATCTTTTCATTAGTCATACTCCTCTAAATGAAGTCAGTTTTAGGCAAACACACAGTGTACCATTCGAGATTCAGTAGTTCATACAGCTGAAAATAAACCTTTTGGAATGGCGATGCCACTAATTTATCTCGTATGTTATCCCATTAAGCGAAGGGGCCATTTGTCTGTGTGACTGATACTTTCACAAAACTGATTCTTAGAAGGATGTTAAATATAGCGTTATCAGGTTCTGATTTTCAGTGCAGTCTACATTGTTGGATTTAGATATTTGTTGGATGACCGGATTAGAAGCTGGTTTAGCCCAGTAGTGCTCAGAGGTTTCAACTTCTAAAATAACATGGTGGAATGAAGTTATTTTTTAAAAATTATCAGTATAAAAAAGTTTCTCCAGCATTTTACACAAGTGTTTGAAAACTTTTAAAAACTCCAACTGAAGGCTAAATATCAAATATTAGCTTCATTTTCTTATTTATATCTTTTATATCATGTTATCAGTATTTGGGACTCAGTCATCACCATATTTTTCTGTTGGTATGTTGTAGTGTGGTTACTTATTTGCAAAGGTCTGGGACATGCAAAGGTCTGGGACTGGCTACCTGTTGGTAATATCACACCATGTTTCTGTTCTGTTAGGCCTGGTCCAGCATCGTTTATCAGCTGATTCCCAATGTTCAGCAACTGGAAATGAACCTAAGGAATTTTGCTGAAATTATTGAGGCTGATGAAGTGCTGCTTTTTGAGAGAGCGACTTTTCTGGTGAGAACTTTCCGCTCTGCAGATAGACTTCACACTTACTTCTTTTATTCGGCAGCAGAGAACATGTTGTCACTTTCAAGAAGAGCCTTCTCTCCTCTTGCCCATTACATTAGCATGTGTAGCATTATTTATAAGGTGGTATTGTCAGTAAGTGACCTGAAAGAAGGCCTTTGATTCGTCGCTCTTGAGTAGTTAGTGAAACTTCGGTTTTTGTAGGTATGCCTTACTACACAGTTTAGATTATTTCTGCAAATCATTGTTCACTTATGTTGAACTATCCCTGTTTCCTATTGAATTTTATTATGAAATGAGGGTTGTTTCCCTGTTGAGGAAAGTTGTATCCACCTCTTTCTCTAAAAGACTAAGTTGAAAACTTTTAACAGGGAAGAAATGTTATAGTTAACTCAGTGACATAGCTAACAGTTCAGCTGGAGAGGTGGAGGAGAATAGAGGCATGTTGGTATTTTAATTCTTGTTATAAATTCATTGTAGCTATATTAGAGCCTACTGTATATATAGCCCTGACAGAGGATACAAAAACCAATGTTATGTGTATATATGTGTGTATATATATATATATAATTTTAAAATAACAGTAACAAATTAATTTGAGATACCACAAAGCACTGCCTAAGTAGTTGCTGATCAGCTTAGTAAATGTAACTCTTAAGAGCAGCTTACAGTAAATAATTTGTTTCTGAGCTCTACCAATGCCTGGTGATTTTAGACACATTTTTTTTTCTTTTTTTAAAATTTATTTAATTATTGTTCAAGTACAGTTTTCTGTCTTTTACTCCCATCCCAGCCCACCCCCCCAGTGCTCCCCACCTCCCTCCCATTTCCACCCCCCTTAGTTATTGTCCATGTGTCCTTTATACTAGTTCCTGTACAGACACATTTCTTAATCTCTCTACGTTGGTTCCTCTTCTCTAAAATGGAGATAATAATATCTATATCATTGGTTTTGGCAAGTGACTCGGTTTTGTTTCCTAGTAGAAAATTTTGTATCTGTATATTAAGCCTATAGGAGATGCTTGTCTGGTTTTATTAAAATCCAGAAATATGAGGGCAAGTATTTTCAGCTGGCATGGGTGTCCATCCTGAGTAGATTCATTTATAAATAGTCATTTTTCAGAAGTTAGAATCTTTCAGTTAAGATTTATAAATATAATACCGAAAGCCATTTGAATACAGGCTTCATTAAAATTAAATACATTAAGTACACCTCAAGAACAGCTAAGAATTTTTATTTACTTTTCCTTTGTGATTTGTAATTTTTTAAAAATCAGAGACCATCCTGTGAAATATTAAAGTAAAATGAACATTTAATGATTAAATTACGTGATAAAGAACAACAGCAACAAGCCAAAATAGATTGTACTTAAATGATCTAATAAAATTATAACCAAATCACTCGCTGTTGAAATTATGGATAACGTTGAAATTACGTATAATGTTGGCAGCATATGGGACAGAAGAAGTGAGACAGTAAAGCCAGGTGCCATGTGTGCCTACAATCAGGAGACCAAGAGACTGATCGACAGATGCTGCCTGGAAGAGTAGCAGAGGGTGATAGGACTACACTGCATGTATTTAAAGGGCTTTGTTCTTTTTTATAGGTGATTTCTCACTATCAGTGTAAAGAGCAGCGTGATGCCCACAGATTTGAAAAAATCAGCAACATCATTAAGCAGTTTAAGCTGAGCTGCAGGTAAGAGATCTAGTGTGACCTGTTTATCTCTGGAAAAAAATTATTGTTATTTTTGAGAGGTTCAGATAACTATAGTGGATCATACTTCTATATCCAGAATAGTTCCTTCAGTTGAAAAGAAAACTAACTCTAAGGGAGCCTGCAATTGACTGAGGGAATGAAACTGTCCTTTAATGTAAACTCAAGTGATATCAAAGAAGCATATGAAAAATATCTAAGTAGAGTACCCTTTTGAGATGTTTGATCCTGTTTGGGAAGAAATAAAAAAATGTCCAAGAGAGTTTGAAAAAAAAGAAAGAAGGATAATTTTTTCTACCAAATACCAAAATTTTATATAAAGCTACAGTAAGTAAAATTAGAGGTACTGATTCAGGAATGATACAAAATAGTCTAGAAATGTCTAGTCATGTTGTCTGAACTTTGATTAAATACAGTGTGAGTCCTGCCATTGTGAACATAGGAAGATGGACTGGCTGAATCTCATAATTTAGTAAAGATTTAAGAATCAAAATTCTTATTCTGATAAAACTTTGATGCCCAGACAATAGAATAATGTGGTTACTCTTTTTATACCTTAGCACAAAAGGCACTTTGAGATATTTGGGCATGTTTAATGCTAACGTTTTCAAGAAGAAATATTAAATGACGTGCAGATATAATTACGTTTTTTGTTTTTGAAGAAATGGGATCATTTCTTGAATTTCAGTGTGACTACAATTCAAAAGCTTATCTCAGTGATAGGAAAATTTCAAGCTTCTTAAAATTAGAAAAATCTTGTATAACATGATTTTATTTTATTTTTATTTATTATTTTTTAAGATTTTATTTATTTATCTTTAGAGGAGAAGGGAAGGAGAGAGGGAGAGAAATATCAATGTATGGTTGCCTCTTGTGCATTCCTGCTGGGAACTGGCCTGCAACCCAGGCATGTGCCCTGACTGGGAATCGAACTTTGGTTTGCAGTCTTGCGCTCAGTCCACTGAAGCTACACCAGCCGAGGCTTATAACGTGATTTTAACCATAGATCTAAGTCTAAACCCACTTTCATTTCACAGTCAATATCAAGTCCTAACTCTTTCTCAGTTGCTTTCCAAAACATGTTAAATTCAGCACTAGAGTTTGTTGGAAAACAAAGTGAAGTTAGTGACTGTCTTAATGAAGTGCTGAATCAAGGTAGAATGCTATGAAAATGTTTAACCTAAAAGATGAGAATTTCATGCTATTTTATGTTCTTTACTCTATTTTCTCCTATAGCAAGCTGGCTGCCTCTTTCCAGAGCATGGAGGTCAGGAACTCTAACTTTGCTGCTTTCATTGATATCTTTACATCCAACACTTATGTGATGGTTGTGATGTCTGATCCATCTATTCGTAAGTTTAAACTTAGCAGATATAGGTTCAGAGCCACATGTTTATTAAATTGTCTCAGAGGTGGTACTTTATTAGATATTGAGAATCTATTTTGTTATGAGGATGGTTGCACAACAGTATGAATACACTTAAGGCCACTGACCTGCACTTTTAAAAATGGTTAAAATGGTAAATTTCTTGTTAAATATATTTTACTAGAAAAAAACTATCTTAGTACTAGTAGTATATATTTTTCTATTCAATACATGTATATTTTGAAGCTTAAAAATAATTTAGGCTCTACAGTATTATGTTTTGTTCTTTGCAACTTCAGAAATCAAGTGAATCTGGAGATTTTAAAGAAAAGAGAGCCCAAATGTATAACTTATGCTATATATGGTGTAGATTTTAAAAGACTAGTCAATCTAAGCTCTGAACTATTAAATATTGAACTGTTTTATATGTCCTTGTATATTTCTAAGTACCACATTCCCATATTTGTGTTACGGCCATAGAGGGAGGTATTTGGTGCTTCCATGCCGTAATAGCCATATCCATCTCAACCATTGAGATCGAGGTTCTAGCAGTATTTTCGGGATGTTCCCAGAAGATTAAATTATCTCTGATCTACTGGCTTTTACTACCTTAGGTTAATATTAAAATATAACATAAGGTAATAGGTTTTATACTGTGAGCCTCCAAATAAAAGATTTCAAAAATTTTTGATGTTTGAACTTTGTGTTTAAAATACAAACACATTTACATTTTCAGAAAAATTAAACCCTGGTTAACTTGGGGCCTCTTGTTCCTTTGTGTTGTTTGTGACATACTACGTTGAGGGATTTGGTTCTTTCTTATTTGCTTATTTGTTTTTATTAGTCAGACATTCCTTTGATTGACTGTACCTATTTGTTGGGTATCTCCCCTACCTCTTCCCTCAGCTTCTGCAGCTACTCTGATCAACATCCGCAATGCCAGGAAACACTTCGAAAAACTGGAACGAGTGGATGGACCAAAGCAGTGTCTTCTCATGCGCTGAACATTGCCAAAAGTTGTTTCAGAAGAAAATTGAAATACTGTTTCTTAATCTTAGTGTTGTATTCGTGTATGTAGGCTCTGAAACGTTATGATGCTTACCACTTCTGTATTTCTTCCCTACAATCTCCAGTCTTATTGTTTAACCTTGAAGTTTATTTACTCAAATAGCTAGTGAGAAATTAGACGAGCTGTCCACAAAGTTGGTGTGATGTAAAAGTAGGTGATATGTGTAAGTGTTCTGATAATAAGGTTCTAATAGTGTGTTCTGATAACCCAGTTCCAATAATCACGTGTGCCAAAGTCTCTTCCAATATTGTCTTGTATTCCTTATCAGATAGTAACCTAGATGTTTGGCATATTACTGTTTTCTCAGCATGCATTAAAAATATTCCTTAACTCCAATTGAAAATAAACTTTTGCAGTTAGGGATTTCAGTGTCTGTGTTTCTTTTCCTTGTTTATTTAAGTTTTCCCTAAGGTAGAGCAAGTTAATTTCACAGTTATCCTAGAAGAAGGGGACCAACTGGTTGAAAAAAATAGTATAAAACAAAGTTGGATGCAAAGGATGGAGCCTGATTATAGCCTTAAATCCAGGCAGAAGAGTTTAGCAATAATGGGTTAGGACATGGAAACCATTGTAGGCTTTTGAGGAGGGGAATTACATGAAAGGAATTTTGAAAGAAAATTAAACGAGGCCGTATGGGCTGATTGATGGCAGTTGGGGAATCTGTGATACTAATCCAGGCCTGAGATGTACTGAAAGCCTGATTCAGGATGTAACGAGAAGGGATGAATAAAAAGTTGAAGGGAAATAATAGGATTTGTGAGATGTAACTCTTCTTTGGGGTCTGGGAATGATTAATTTTATATGTTCTATAACACCTAATGGGATACGCCTTAATTACACTAGTCAAGTGGTATTAAACTCTTTTTCAAGCTGGGAGTTATATTTGACATCATCCCCTAAGGAAAACATGAAGCATCATGAACTAGGAGAAATGTAGCTTAATAACACTACCTAGAAGTACTCAAGGCCCTAAGTTTTTCAGTTTCCACAGATAGGATAACAACACGACAGTATTTAGGAAATCTACGGCACAGTAGACTCATTTCTCTTGTGTCTTTTAAAATTTCTTGGGGTTTTTTTTTTTCATTACCATTAAGTCCCCTTATTCTCTTGTTTCTATGTCATGAAGAAGCTTCTTCCAGGCCACCAGACTTCCACTTTTTCCCAGTTTACTATCCCCCTGTTTTTCTAGGTAGCCTACATTACGTAGGTTAAAAATCTCAAGTCTCGAACTGTACAGGACTAATTTTATCAACAGTTGTATTAATCTTACATAGAATGAAGAGTTTTTAAAGCAAATGTAGATTTTTTTACCCTGTTAACATGTAGGAAAATGAAAAGAGCAAGTGAACTGGGCATCTGTTCTGTGACTAATAGCAGTCATAATTTGGCACATTCTCATTATCCTTAACATTTGGGGTGGGATTTGAAAGAGCTTCCCAAAAGTGCTTTTTTTTAAGAAGTTGGATAGATACAGATATAGACATTAAATTAGATGAGCACAAAAAAAAATCCCATAAAGTTACATCATTATTTGCTCTTGGTTCAATTCTTGATCAGATTCTAGTTAGATGTAGAGGATGTATAAAAGGATGAAATGTTGGCAAAATAAAGTTGTTATTCAACATAATCCTTATGGTAATGACCAACCAGTCTTCGTCCCTGAAGACAAAATGTTTTAAGATGGAGCCACTTAAAAACTGAAGGAAACAAGTGCACAGTGAAGGCATGCACATAGAAATGGAGAGGAAAAATAAAAAACGTGAAACTTACAGTCTAGAGCAAGGGTGTCAAACTCATTTTCACTGGGGGCCACATCAGTCTCAGTTGCCTTCAAAGGGCCGGAAGTGATGTTAGGACTGTATGAATGTAACTACTTCACAGTTAAGTGAGAGCTCGGTACTGCCACCAGGTAGACACAAGGTGCTGGGTCAGATAAAACAAGGTAAAGGGCTGGATTCAGCCCTCAGGCCTTGTGTTTGCCACCTGTGGTCTAGTGATACAATGAGATGATGCTTTTTAACAGGCAATGTTAGCTATGTCAGTAGAATAGGGCAATGGTTCTAATTTGAACATACATCCAAATCATAAGAGGAGACTTAAAACATTAACTGCTTGCTGTTGCACCTCCACCACAAGAGTAGGTTTGGGGTAGGGCACACGAATCTACATTTCTAATAAGTTCCCAAGTGATGCTGATGCTGATCCTGCTAGTTCAGGGACTGTACTTTTGAGAACCACTTCTTTAGGGAAGAGAGGAAATGTAGATATGGAAGCAGGAGTGGGAAAACATGTTCACCAGGTTTACAAAGTGAGTTGAAAGCATTATACCAAGATACATGCGGTCTGCCTGGAAGAAAGTCCAGCCATTGCAAATATAACAAGAATGGTTTGTGCGACATTGATGTAACCTGGCAGCCAAGGAGAGTAGACTGGAATGTGCATGCATGAACAATGATAACTTCAGTGTAGTAGTCAGTGGGGGCGGTAGACACTGTTAAGTGAGCATGTGTACTGTGTGGCTGTTGCATTCAAAATGACTGAGCGAGTAGATCAATGAATCTGCATCAAATTTTGCATTAAGCTTCAACATTCCTTCATGGAAACTATTTGGATTCAGAAGGCCAGAGCTATGGCTAACTGGTGATTGGCACCTTCGTCATGACAATGAGCCCACTCATGCATGATGTCTTGTGCAGAATTTTTTGACAGAACATCGAATCACCCAGGTGACTCAGCCCCCCCCCCACAGCCCAGATTTGGTGCCCTGCGATCTCTGGCTTTTCCCAAAACTAAAATCACCTTTGAAAGGGAAGAGATTTCAGACCATCAATGAAATTCAGGAAAATACAACAGGGCAGCTGATGGCAAATGGGAGAACTGTGACGTCCCAAACTGCATATTTTGAAGAGGACTGAGGCATCATTCTCCTATTTTCAGTGTTTCTTGTATCTTCTTCAATAATGCCTCTACTTTTCATATTGCACAGATTGATACTTTCTGGACAGACCTTGTATATAGTTTATTTAGTCCAGTGATTCTCAAAATAATATAAAATTTTGTGAACCACTGTTTTAGACAAAAGTTTAGACAAAGCTTCTATTTTATAACTAAGATGTTGCAAATGGGAGCTACTTATTGCTCCCATTTGCAGCATGAAGAGTATGGGTACCAGTTTGTATAGGGACATAGTTTTCCCCTGTTTTAACCATCTTTGTTTGCTAACCCAATAGAGTATCATGAGAACTTCAGTGGGTTTGACAAATGAAAACAGTGCTACCTTTAGTTGAGTATTTACTAAGTTTCAGGTTGTAATGCTTTATAAGGATTGTCTCACTTAATCTTTACAAGAACCTCATGAGGTAGATCATGAACAACACAAGGATGTCCACTTTTACTCAACTTTGTTTTAGAAGTCCTACCCACAATAATCAGAGAAGAAAAACAAAATACATTCACATTTGAAAGAAGTAAAACTGTCATTACTTGCAGATGACATGATACTATCTGTAGAGAATCATAAAAAGCCCAACAAAAAGTATTAGAAGTTATTCATAAATTCAGTGATGTAGCAGAATAAAAAATTAATACTCAGAAATTGGCTTCACTTTTATACACTAATAATAAACTACCAGAAAGAGAAATTAAGAAAATCCCATTTACAATTGCATTAAAAATTACATAGTAATAAATTTTTAAAAAATTTTAAATTATTTATTTATTTTTAGAGAGAAGGGAAAAGCAGGAGAAAGAGAGGGAGAGAAACATCAATGTGTGTGAGATATATCAACCAGTCACCTCTCACACATCTCCAACCAGGGACCTGGCCCAAAACCCAGGCATGTGTCCTAACTGGGAATCAAACTGGTGACCCTCTGGTTCGCAGGCCAGCACTCAATCCACTGAGCCACGCAAGCCAGGGCATACCTAGGAATAAATTTAAACGAGGAGGTAAAAGACTTGTACTCTGAAAGCTATAAGACATTGAAGGAAAAAACTGAAGATACAAATAAATGGAAGCATATACTGTACTCCTGAATAGGAAGAATATTGCTAAAATGTCCATACTGACCACAGCAATCCATAGATTCAAATGTAATCCCTATCAAAATATCAATGACATTTTTCATAGAAGTAGAGGAAGTAATCCTAAAATTTATATGAACCCACAAAAGACCCTGAATAGTTAAAGCAATCTTGAGGAAGAGCAGAGTTGGAGGGATCATATGAACTGATATCAAACTATAGTACAAGGCTATAGTAGTCAAAATAATATGATTCTGCCATAAAAACAGAAACATTGATGGAACAGAATAGAGAGCTGAGAAATCCATGTCCATATGTAGGGAACCATTTCACATGTTGTGGAAATGTAGCTCAGCACTCAAGTGGAAAACCAGTGGGAAGTGAGTGGCATGCAGGACCACGCCCACAGAAAGGTTTTCCTGTGGGGAATCAGGCCTGTATTGTACCTAGGCCACTATGAGGCTTGCTTTTACTAAAACTCCCTCACCCTGAACTCCCTCACCCAAGGGCTTACTGCAGCTTTCTAAAATCTGAGCTAAACCTCCAAGTATGGAGTGTGACTAGTTCAACCACTTTCCCCCCAGATCTGCAACATCCTTCTCTTTGAAGTAATAAACAACATTCTTTCCTTTGTTATCTGTAAAAAGCAATCCTCTGCAATGAACCTGTGCATAGTAAATGAGGACTACCCTCTATGTAATGTACCCAGAGAAGCAATGAAAGCCTGTCCAGGCAGGGACTGAGGGCTCTGGCCCTCTCTCTCTCAGAGAGTGGCCATGTTGTCCATTTTTCTCCACAGGACTTCTGTAGTCTGTGTGTATTTGTTCTCTAGCAGCCACAACATACATGGATCCTGCAGGGCAGGATCTGCCATATCCATATATTCAATTAATCTGTGACAAAAGCAACAGTATACAATGGGGTAAAGACAGTATCTTCAATAAGTAGTGTTGGAAATTGGAGAGGCATGTACAAAAGAATGAAACTAGCCTGGTATCTTATACTGTACACAAAAATTAAAATAGATTAAAGATTGAATGTAAGACCTATAACCATAAAACTTTTAGAAGAAAACATAGTTGATTTGGGGAGGATCTTACTCCAAAACAAAGGCAACAAAAGGAAAAATAAACAAGTGGGACAACATCAAACTAAAAATCTTCTTCACAGCAAAGGAAACCATCAACAAAATGAAAAGGCAACCTACTGAATGTGAGAAAATATTTACAAATCATATCTGATGAGAGGTTAATATGTGAAAATCTATAAATAACTCACAGAACTCAATAGCAAAAAGCAAACGATGTGATTTAGAAATTGGCAGAGGATCTGAATGG